GAAGGTCCAACTGGAGACCGAAGTCACGTGTCTACTGCGGTAAGTAGTGAAATGATTAAGCCCCAGTTTGATAGCCATTATAGGGAGAAATTGGGAAAAAATGATGTTTTGTATGGTGACTTTGAAGAATGTGTGGTTAAAAAGTAGAAAAAGTTTTTGGTTTTACATGTAAAATATTTTATTATGTGAATGTGTAGTTGAAAATAAGTATAAGAAATAAAGAGTTTTGAAATAAAAAGAGTCAAGCACGGGCTAAATTAAGTTTGAATGAGATCCATCGTGGAATGCATTTATCAAAACAATGATTCACTTGTCTGTGGCAGTTTGGTCAATTTGATTAGTTTTTGTTTGAACTATTTAGCTATATTTGTTCTGGCCAGATATCCAAAAGTACCTAGACTAATATGAACCTTCAATGTGAAGCAAATGCATTTTTTATTTATAGTTAGGATTCTAGCATGTCTATTTTAGTTGCCATCTCTCTTTTCAATTTATTTGATCCAAACTCCTAATCCCTATTTCTTGTGTAATTTACCTCAAATTTGGGAACTTCAACTGCAAATTTGTATCTCAGAACTTAATCAGCATGTACATTTGGTTTCACAAGAACTCCTTTTTCCGGTTTCGCCATCTATTCTGGGTTCACAATTATATTAGGCATTTTATACATGTATTAGGTCGCTTTAATATTCCTATAATATATAAAGGATTATTTAAATGATTGCTTTTCAGAGCGATACAGACTGAGAGGCGTAAGAAAGCAAATTGTAATTCTGTTTCTTTTCATGGTGAATATTTTCAGCAGCAGATGTACATGGTTCTCATGTCGAGAGTGAAATCACTATAAATTTTGTGTATTTGCTCGTGCGTGTTTCTAATATTTTTTGCTTAATATTGCTCTCGTGATTGAGATGATGGCTTAATCCCTATCCTTTTGAACTTTATGGTATTAGCCTGTGGGGACACGTGGATATGCTGCCCCCGAATATGTTGAAACGGGTCATCTTACAATTAAGAGTGACATATGGGGCTTTGGGGTTGTGCTTTATGAGATACTCACAGGAAGGCGGACTTTGGAAAGAAACCTCCCCGTGATGGAGCAGAAGCTTCTAGATTGGGTGAAACATTTCCCGGCTGATAGTAAGAGATTTTACATGATAATGGATCCCCGACTTCAAAACCAATATTCCCTAACTGCGGCCAGGAGAATCGCTAAGTTGGCAGATAGTTGCTTAAACAAAAACCCAAAAGATCGGCCAGCTATGAGTGAAGTGGTCGAGATCTTGAAACAAGCAATTCAAGATTCAGAAGAAGGAACTTCTTCACGTGAGAAGTCCTCAGTCATCCAGAACTCATCTGTCTGCCTCAGACAAGCAGATTAAAGTTACCAATGCTGGCAGAGATATGGCTCGTGCGGTTCAGGCTTGAATGTAAAGGACAAAATGGTCATTTTGTGCATATCTGTAAATTTTCATTCCTGCTCAATTCAATGCAACTCGTCAGAATCATTTTTGTGACTCCTAAATCTAAGTTAGCAGGAGTGCTTTTGTCCTTACAATTTCATTCCTTCTGAAGATTTAAGTTTCACAATCAGAGAGGATAGATTTTATTTTTGTTTTCGTGTAATAAACTTATGATTTACAATTTTCGTTCATGAATATTCATCTTATTTCCGTGGACTTCTATACTTGTTTGTGGAAATTCGCTCACTTTGTACGAAGGCTTCGAAGCGTGCAAGGACGTTTAAGTGGGATAGGGACATAACCCTTTATTTTATACTTGGAAAAGCGGTCTAATTCATGAAAAATGCGTACAAGTTGCATGGTTTTGGTGATCTATGGAGCTTTACATTTAGCTAATCGGTAAATATTATACAAAAGGGTAATTGGCACAAAACGTTCCTACCTTTCAAGTCTATTGTGGAAAACGTCCCTATCTTTCATTTTTTGGCATTTTTGCCCTCATTTCAACCTTTCTTTGCGC